TGGTGATGATGGTGATGGTGGTGATAGTGGTGATGGTGACGATGATGATGACAGTGATGAAGATGATGATGGTGATGACGAGGATGGTGATGATGGTGATGGTGATGATGATGATGATGGTGAAAGTGATGATGGTGAAGGTGATGATGGTGGTGATGGTGATTCAGCTGTGGTTAATGTTTACTGAATCCTAATATGCCAAGAACTATACTAACTGTATTTACCTTCACCACAACCATGAATGAACAGTATTGTCATTATTACTGTTGCTGTATATATAATTGTAATTGCATAATTATGTATTTATATGTAATGAATACAATGCATGTAATATATATTTACATTTAACAAATATGACTATTACTATTAATATAAAAACAATCATTATTATCATCATTCCCAGATGGGGAAGCAGAGCCTCAGATTCTCACAAAACTACCCCAAAGCCACATGTCTGGAAAGTGTTGCAGATTCAGGGCGAACCCAAGTCGAGTCTGCCCGGCTCCTGAGTCCTCATGATTTAACTGATGCATTACTTCCTCTCCATACACACCTGGCCACCCTCAGATTATAAGATACTTGACAGTCACTGAGAACTTACGTTCGGCTCTCTTGTGGATCAGGGAGACACTGCCTTTGTTCCAAGTTTCCAATTACCTGTTAATTTGCCCCAGTGCTGAACATTGACAGCTACAAGGGAGAAACAGTTTAATCTCCATAACAAAGGACAAAATTTGGGAGATTCTAAATAATTGTTTTCAAAGAAGTAAAATCTAGCTTCTGAGGTAGCTTTTAGAAAAATAGACAAAGTGACAAAGCGCTGGGCCGGCTGGTGCATGGCGCCACGTAACGGTGATGGCGCAGCTCATGGCGCCACGGACGTAAACCATGGCTGCGTCTCTGGAAAAAGCAGAGGAGAGCTATGGTCTTCTTCCGCCTATGGCCGGGCTTTGAGGGCCCTCGGAAGAACAACAAAGATTTTTACCCAGTATGAATTCACGACTGACATAAAACTTGGACCCAGCTCCTCAGCCTGACAATGGTGGAATGGTTACTCTAACAGAGCATTTAATACAAAGGAACACGCCGACTGTGAACCTAAGCACACAGGTCAGGTAAACACACGGGGAATTAGACACCAACGGACAAATCAGTCACTCAAGTGTCCACTGTTGCTGACACCCAATCTAACAACCCGACCCACCCCAAACTGACCCCCAGCCACACCTCTACCTCTGCCCTATTCCCCCACTCTTTCTATCCTCACCCTCCTTCTGAATCTCAACGGTGGGACCACCTCCTATTCCAGAAACCCGGGAGATGCTCCTGACTCCTCTCTGGTCTGCACCTTCTAGATCAGCCTAGGTTAATCTATGGCCTTGAATGCTTGAGTCCCCATCTGTGCCCCCACCACTGCCCAGCAGGCCCCCATCCTTTCTCACCTGGGTTACTCCAGCAGCTCCTGCACAGAGCTCACCTGCATACCTCTCAGAACCATGCAACTTCACCCCAGTCCCGTCACCTGTGTCCCCTTGTGATTCAATCACTCCACATGCCTGGGGGCTCCAGGCCTGCACCTCCCCCCCAAGGGACACAGGGAAGGAATGACTCTGGTCTGGACCCCACCTCCTTGTCAGGACATGTCCTACCTATCAATGCCCCCCTCTGCCCTTGCCCCAACCCCATACACATATGCCCCTCCACACACACATACACACATAAGCACACACACACACACACACAGAAACACACACACATCCACATTCCAGCAATGCCAGACCACTCTCAGCAATTCTCCGGCACGCCAGGCTGGGTATGTCCCTGTGCACTTGTGCCTCCAGCAACCGTCCCCTCCCCTCCTCACCTGCCAGCTGGAATCACACTCACTCTTCCCAGCCGGGCCCAGGAGTGACCCATTCTGGCCTCCTGCCAGGTGGAGCTCACCACTGAGTGTCCTAAACTGAACCCAGGGAGCTGGTCTGACTGCCCATGGAGCACAATCCAAGCCAATCGGCTGACCCCACTCCCTCCTGTCCGGCCTGTGGGTCAGCTGGCCCCGCTCCCTCCTGTCCGGCCTGTGGGTCGGCTGGCCCCGCTCCCTCCTGTCCGGCCTGTGGGTCGGCTGGCCCCGCTCCCTCCTGTCCAGCCTGTGGGTCGGCTGACCCCGCTCCCTCCTGTCCGGCCTGTGGGTCGGCTGGCCCCGCTCTCTCCTCTCCGGCCTGTGGGTCAGCTGGCCCCGCTCCCTCCTGTCCGGCCTGTGGGTCGGCTGACCCCGCTCCCTCCTGTCCGGCCTGTGGGTCGGCTGACCCGCTCCCTCCTGTCCGGCCGGTGGGTCACGGCCTCTCCATCTTGCCGTTAGGGACAGACCAGCATGTACTTTGCCTTATGACATTTCAGTAACCATCACTCTTTGATCTCCTGGTGCGACACCTCAAACGCTGTGACATCCAGATCCACCTGAAAAAACCTCCCCAAGTGTCTGGGCTGAGCTGCGTGGCTTAAGATACAGAAAACTTGCAAGTGGATGTAATGACACCTCCAAGACCCCAATCAGAGCGGCTTCTCCCTTAGCTCCTGACGAGCAGTGCATTCATGGAGGTGGGGTGGGGGGGGACCTGTAAAATCCAACAGTGAGAGCAGCCTCTGTGACCAACATCAGCCTCGGTTTAAGGATCTGCCCAGGAAGATCCTAGGGTTCATTCAGCCAGCTCCAGCTCTCTTCAGGTTTTCTCAGCCCACAGAGGCCAACCGCCTACAGGGAGGCATATTCAAGCACAGGGAAACTATGCACATCTTCCTCCAAGATGTCCGCCCCACCCAATGCATGTGGCCCCACCCCAACACCCAGCTGATTAGCAGTCCTCCCTACTCCACACTACGAGCTGCAACATGAGAACAAGAGTGTGTGTGTGTCTATTTCTTGGCACAGCCACACCTGAAGCTCCATACATACTGACAGAACTGGACTGAACACAACGTTCTGGAAAAAGAACACTCCCAGGCGACATAATCCAACATGAAGTAGGGTCTGGTCTGGACCACAATGAGGACGGTGGGAGCTGCCATGACCGAAGGCTTACTTTGCACCCAGGGCACTGTGAATATGGTACCTTGTTAGAATACAGCAAAGATCCAGAGAGGGCAGACTGTGCCCATGTTTGCAGAGTTGTCAGCGGCACAGCTCTGGTCGGCTGGGTGGTTAACCCGTATGAAACTCCACCCTCCACTGGTAAAGCTCATGGCCAAACTCAAATCAAAAAGGAAGACAGCGAGAGAAGCCTACTCTCCGGCTTGGTCAATGAGTTGTAGCCTTTCTGCAAGATGTGAGGCTAACAACCGAGAATACCAGGACACAAGGGAAAGAACACTGGCCTTGGAGACAGGTGAAGGCAGACACCCAGTGTGGGTCTGCCATGTACACCATGCATATCCATTTTCTAGGGCTGTCTTAACAAAACAGCACAGATGGGGGCTTAAAACACAGGCATTCATTGTCTCCCAGTCCTGGAGGCTGGAAGTCCAAGATGCATCCATGGGCACAGCTGGGTCCTCCTGAGGCCTCTCTCCTTGGTGTGTAGAAGGCTGTCCTTTCCCTGTGTCTTCACGGGGTCAGGCCTCTGTGTATGTCTGTGTCCTGATCTCCTTTTAAGACACCATTCCTGGGGCACCTGGGTGGCTCAGTCGGTTAAATGTCTGCCTTTGGCTGGGGTCCCACATCAGGCTCTCTGCTAGGTCAGGGAGTCTGCTTCTCCCTCTGCCCTTCCACCTACTCGTGCTTTCTCTTTCTCTCTCTCTCGCTCTCTCAAAAAATAAAAGTCTTAAAAAAAAAAAGATACCATTCCTATTGGATGAGGTCCCACCTGAGCAACCTCATTTTACCTTAATCATCTCTTTAAAGACCCCCACCTCCAAATATACTCACATCCTGAGGTGCTAGGGGTTAGAACTTCTACACAGGGATTGGAGTAGAGGGACAACTCAGCCCATAACACTGTGACCATGGCCCAGTCTCTGCCTCACACTAAGCACCACATGCTCTGGGTGGGCCACATCTGTGTTGTCAACTAACTCACATGATCCACAGAAGATCAAAAACTTTGTGCTCTGGGGTCGTGTGCCCACCAATGCCCAAGTGGTCGGCCTACGAGGGCAGAAGGAGGCAGAAGCTGGACAAGACTGTTTTTGATTTGCAACAATAGGACAAGAGAATTTTATGGAAGAGACT